TTGGATCAAATATATCAAAATGAACAAAAACATCATCACCATCAGTAGCATCAGGACCATCATTAGAAGCATTATTAGCATTAACATCAGAAACATCATTAGAAACATTATTAGCAATAACATCAGGACCATCATTAGAAGTATTATTAGTATCAATATTTATAGTTAAATCCTCATGAGAGTCATTTAAAGTGCTAACTAAATTCACCATGTTAGGATTTTCATTAGCATCAACATAAGCATCATCCAAATTAATATCAATATGTTCATTGTCAAGAGAAGACGGACCTTCTTTTATGACAAATTTATCAAGAGATCCCTTTTGAGATTGAATTATCTCTTCAATTCTTTTCTTTTTTTTACGTTTTTGACATCCAGAATCATATTTTCTAACCCTAGAAGACATATTAGAACTGAAATAAGTAAAAGAAAAAAAGATAAGAAACAAAACAACATGAGTGAGGATGATAGTACTATTGCTGGCTATTGATGTTTGGTCCTCCCAAGTCCCAGTCCCAAAAGATTTTGATCGCACTGCAAGAGATAGACACATGTACATATTGACATATATTTAGAAATAAGAAATAAGAATTTGATCATTTGAACTTAATTCCTAAACAATCTGAAGACTGAAGTTTGGACAATTTGAACCAAACCTAAACAAATAAGAAGATGAACCTAAAACAAGTGAACAAGTTTTCAGTTTTTTCTTACACTTGTGATTCTTAACAGTGAACAAGCAATAAAAGGCTAAATGGCTAAATATAAATTGAAGAAAAGAGAAAATGGGAACCTATTAACCTAAATCTTATGCAATTCCATCATTCCAAACACTACAGTCATGACACACAGACAAAGAACTGAATTTGTGTATACAGAGAACTAAATACAGACATAAATCAATAAATCATAATCAATTAATCATATGTTCTGTGTAATGTGTATACAGACAAAGAACTTAAGACTTTAGGAGGATACTTTATCTCACCTTTAGGATTTAGGAATTAGGTTAAAATCGACCACCTACTTCCTCAATCCTCACCAACAGTCCAAGTGTCCAACGAAGTTACCAAGACCAACAGGTAATCGATTTAGGATTTAGGAATTAGGTCTAACCCAGATGACAGATGATGAGATAAAATCAACAAAAAAAACAATCAAGATTTGAGTAATCGACCAAATCGTTTCGTTGAGATAATAAAATTTAAGAACAGTGAATATAATCAGATAACGAGTAATCAACAAATCGATCTAAACATGTATTTATACAGTATACTTAACAAAAATAATCTAAAATCTGACCGTTATTCTAGTTGACGTTGCATATCCGAAGATTCTGAAACCGAATCATTAGCCATTTTGAATAAATCAATCGACAATCGCGGAAGGAACGGTAGAGAGGAGAAGGGAGATCGAGGCAACGAGGGTCGAGGGCACGAGGCGACGAGTTCTGGTCCTGGCGTACAGTCCATGGCCGTATGAAATCGAATCGCTAAATCCAATCAGGATGGAGCTTAGCCGGCTACAGGGTTATACATATGGGCTGTGAAAATTTGGGCCCCAAAATATTGGGGGCCCTGTTCTGAATACCATATTTAACAGGCTCAAGGACGGCCTTGGACCGTAATGCACTCATGCTTCAGATGGTTGAGAACCTTGACTTTTTGTTCACATAACCCTAGGGTAGGTTAACTTTCACGTATCTGACCAATTCTTATTTGTCGAAAGACATGCAACACCAAAACTAACTATATGTGAAAAAGATTTTATGGTTAAAAGAAAATTAAGGAAACCAAATACTCTATATGGCTATGCCACTATCGTACGGTGTTTACTTACGAGGCCATCCAACATTCTGGAAAAGTGTGCGGTGTTTTTCATGGAAACGTCACACCAAGGATGCTCGCATCAATTGGCGGGTGCTCTATCGAATAAAATGCAATATCAAGAGCCGACTTTGAGAATGCTTGCAGAGATGACTATGAGTTTGACTGTGTTTCAGATACGATCATATACCATAAGAACATCCAAACCATAAAAACAACGTGATTTATTCTAGTTGAACAAGTTTTTGACGGTAGATGTTTTTTACACCTAGATCCAACATAACAAAAATGAGTGGGTCCAGAAAAGTTAAAATAACATCCATCCAATAAAATAAAATTTTCTACTTAATAGTTATTAATTAAAATAGAAAATATCATCCAGAAAATGACAACACCAAATAGTTACAACTTTATTCATTTATTGATATCTTTATTATTTTATTTTTTATTTTATTTTAAAAAATTGTCGGAAAATTTAATAAATTACTGATGGTTTATCGACCGATACCTTTATTATTTCATTTTTTATTTATTTTTAGAAAATTATGAAAAGGTTGTCAAAGAACTTAATAGATTAATTATCAACTCGTTTATTGCTTAATTTTTTATCTGTTTTTAAATATCATTTGGACGAATTTCATAATTTATTCTTATTTATTTTTCTCGTTCATCGTGACCTTAGTTAAGAAGTGACATAGACATTAGAATATCGTTTTCAATTTCTCATTATACCTTTTTCATTGTCTTTATTACGGTTGATACGTAAAGGGGTAATGCGGTCTATTTATGAAGTTAATATTCAGTTAGTTAGGCTCTCGATGTAGGTTGTTAACTTGTGCCAGACTCTTGTCTATTTTGTATAGTTAGGTGTACTCCTTCCTATAAACGGGTCCGTTCCTGATATTTTATGGACCCTGGGCGAACATAAAAACATGGTCCACTGCAAGAAACAAGACTTGTAGCAACGACTTTTGTCGTCGCTAAAAGTCCATTTATCATCAGAAAAAATATATACCAACATGTCGTCGTTATAACTTATGGTGGACACATGTCATCGCTAAAAGGCGCATCGTCAAAGCTTACTTTTCTTGTAGTGACTCTCGGTAAGTACGATTTTTTTTTTCAATAAATGTCTTTCATTAGTATAAAATTGAGTACAAGAAATGCTAATAATTTACTGAGGAAAGAAATCTTATTTATCTTATTATAGATATATAAGAGAGTGCTTAATTTTTTATTGATTAACCTGATTATTCAACCCGCTATGCGAACCGACTAATCACATGGCAACCACCTGCTTTGCAGATAGCCCGGAGTCACCGCAATTGAACCTCCATGGCCACAAGGGGATTTGTGTTCCTTCTTTGATTTGAACCTGAGACCTCCAAGCACTTTTGATCTTTGGAGTCAAGCTCAAACCAATCAGGCATCACTTTTGTGGTTACTTAAATTTACGTACATCTTATTAGGTAATTTGAAACCAAAAGTATAAAACTATGGTTGATAAATTTTTATAAAAAATAAGAATTTTTTAGTTCATAACAAGAAATATGTATTATTTTGATACAAAAAGAGAATGTGTGAATGAAGTAATCGTGAGGGTCAATGAGAGATCAATAATAAAGAAGATTATCAAGGTTTTCTAAACAAGTAGACAAATAAGGATCAATAAGAAGATGAAAGAAAAGATGATTCATTGAGATCTAATAAAAATAAATAATGAATTAAACATATAATATGCAAGATCAACAAATGATTGTTTGAGTACATAAATAGAATCTTGTAGTGCGATGGAACCCCAATGAAAGATATATAAGTCAAACAATTGATGAAAATATTTAAATTTTATAAGATGTTAAGATTAAAAGTTTATGGAACATGACATATATAAGAGACATTACTA